AAATCAATATTCACCCCTCTGTACACAGACACTGAGAACATCAATTATCTACAGACAGATCGTGTGTTTTCAGTAGGTTTTGTTATTATTTTCACTTTGTCACACAGACCAGACCAAAGTTGACTGTGCAAAGTCATCAGGAATCAACACAATTCACTACCCACAATTTGGAAGATCCTGCTCTCATTTCAAGAACTAATTCAAGCAACTGCAATAATTTATTTTTTTTTGTTTACCCTTAATTTGATTATCTTTTGCTGAAGAGACTGGATAATTCAATAGAATACTCCAGAAACACTAGAAAAAAAGAATTTAAGAATTTTACCTTTTAAAAAATGGAACCCTTCCATAATGACTGTCTCCATTTCCTTTAGTTCCCTATGACTTGCAATTATGATATTTTTTCTAAAAAAAAAAAAAGCCTATGGATCTTAAAGACATCCATCACCCTGACATGCAACATCATGAATAAAACTATTACTTCACTAACAAAATGTTTTACAGGCTTTTTTCTTTCTCTTTGGGGCAGAGCCATGACAGAGCAGGATGGGGATGATGGTGATAGTTGGGGTAACAAGAGCACTGGTGGAAACCAGGTTTGAGGCAGGCAGGTAAATGTCATTCACTTGAGATTAACCAGGGATTTGGGGCCAGCAGGTTGCCCCCTCCACCCAGGCAGTGTTAAGATATCATTTTATTTTCTAGCACCTTCTAATATTTCCATTTTCCAAAGCATTTTCAAGCCCTTCATTTGAGAACACACTGTGCTTACAGGTTCTCCCATGTCCTTCCATAACTCTGCCCACCCAACCTTTAACCTCCTTTACAGAATTCCCATGTCTGTTTGGGCCTTTAAAGGTAATCTTGACCTTCCCAATCTCACCAACTGAGTACATTTTACAACCCAGAAACCACAAAGAGCAACAACAGTGAGGAATCACCCATCCAACTCACCACCAGGATGAAAACCAGGGACACGGTTGCAGGGGAGGCTCCTGGCTCCAAATCTGGGCTTTATGCAGGTGCCTCACATCTGCTCTCAAATTAGAAAACTAGTGGCTAATTTTATTGCCCAGGAGCAGCTGGCCCAGGCCTCCTTGGCTGGTCTTTTGTCTTGAGCTCAGTTTAATGACTGGTCCAGGTGAGCCTGGGAACAACCCACAGAGCTCAACATCACCTGGCTGACAGGCCCAAATCACAGAGGAAAGCAGAGAAGAGCCAGAGGTTAAACAGGCTTAAAAGTGGAAGTATTAGATAAGCTTTTCACTGTTGAAAACAGAAAAAGTTAAGCAAAAAGTAGTTACTGAACTAAGAATCTGGGTAGAAAAAAGGCAAAGTTATCAGCATTAGGAACTGCCTATACTTTGTGCCAAAAATTATTATCCTGTTCAGCAGAAATTATTTAGAGATGAAAAAAAAAAAACAACTCTCAAAGACAGTCCTTCAAACATTCACACCAGAACTGGCATATGAGGACAGGATTAATTAAACCAAGAATTCCACAGAGGTTAAAATACCCCCAAAAAAATCACACTTGGTCACAACAGTTCAGGAATTGTCACTATAAGAACATAATCATCTGATGCAGGCTGGCAATTCACATGATGTATTTTGAAATGTCTTCCAAGTAACAGTCATGTAAAATTGATGTTTCAAGTAATCTCCTGCCCAGTCTCAGCCTTCCACAGGAGCTGCTCAAATTGAAACAGAGACTGAAAATACCCCAAAAGAGCTATGAGAAGCAGGTTCTCATCCCCTAAAAGGTGTGAGGAGGCAAAAAGTATTTTTGCTAGAACAGGTTAAGAACCCTTTCTAAAAGTTTCTGCATGTTAACAACCACCACTGAATTTTTCTGTTCACAAAAGGTTCCCAAACATGTGATACTTCCTCCCAGAGTCATCTCCCAGTGTGCCAAGACAGAAATAGTATTTTAACATTTTTAAATACCAAAAGCCCTAGAGACATTCCTCTAAACATGAAAATATTGTATTGCTTTTGCAGCAATCTGATAATTTGCAGGGAAGGCAGAAATGACCCAAATAGATCCGTCACAGTTTTTAAAGTAAAAAGAAACAGAAGTATCCTCAACTTCATCAGTAATTTTTGGGATCCTTTTCTGCTACACAGGAGATATTATGGAAAGTCTAGAGGACATCCCAGGCAGCAATGGATAGGAAAGTCAAGGCAATGGACACTCATCTCCTGATTTATGGTGAGATTGGCAACAGCAGAGGAAAAGAGATGCTGGCACAGACTAACCCAGGGCTGTACTGACAGGGATGCAGGCAGAGAGAAACAGAAAATGGAAAGCAGAATTCTGAAACAGATTGTTATATTTAACAATTCCATCTTTGTGGGGTTGTTTCTTTTTTTTTTTTTTTTAAATACCAATAAAGTTGTTACTTCAGTGTGGAAATTTAAGTTAAGCTGTACACTGGGTTATTTATCTATCTGAGGAACATTCCACATGCAGGCTGGTTTTCTACTACAGAACTCTTTTGTTATGAAAAAGAGCACAGTGGATGTTTTAGGAACGTAAATGTATCAGTTTGGAAACGCCAGTGACTCACTGTGTGTTCTCTGTCCACCTCAAGGATGTTTCTCCTTACTGGGGAGGTTTTCAGACAAAATTGCCGTTTGGGAAAAAAATCAAGGTGAGGAATTATTCCTCTTGCCTTCTCATTTTCAACTGGCTTCCAAAACTAAGTACTGAGAGGTGTTCACAGACCTCCTTTCTATTTGGAAGTTCAGAAAACAGCTGAAGGCACACAAAATTAGGCTTTTGTGTGAAGAGGAATAAATACCAGTGCAGTTTTCCAGCAGGGATTTCTGGACACCCACACCTACCACACCCCTTGGACAGGAGAGGGTGCCCCTATCAGACCTTCCACAGCTGAGCTACTCCCTCCATGCCTCTGGGAGCAAAAATCACATCTAAATTGTGCTACAGCTGCCTATTCCTACAGTTCTGATACTTTCTTCTAATTCTCTGATCCCGTTTTCATTTTTTAACTCTGTCTGAGAAAGCAGAAGAGGAGCTGGACCGTGTTGCTGCTCAGAAACAAAGCTGCAGAAAGAGCAACACAGCAGAGAAGGCAGAGAAAAGGAGAACCTGAAAAATCCATGCAAGCTTTTAAGGAATGTGGTTCCATAGGATTTGTAGGACAAAAGATGAGGATGCAGAATCCAGCAGAGATCCAAATTTCCCCAACACTGGGGATGTTCAGAGCTGTTGTTCTGAATGTAGTCCCTGAATGAATGAAACTCCTTCCATGTAGTATTTTGGAAGAGAACAGAGGCTACAGAATTCTCTCTTGTAAAATAATATTTAAAACCCTCCCATCAAATGATTTAACTTTCTCATCCTCCTTACTGGAAAGAACTAACTGCATATCATTTCCCACTGTATCCCTAAAGTAACTCCACAGAGGATGTAATTTTCCTCAGGACATTCCTCTCCCTGAGTTACCAAGATGCTCTCACAAGGCACATCAAAAGTGCAGTGCTGGTTGGGGTTTTTTTGCTTGTTTCTCCCCACTGTAACCTTCTGCTCCATAAAAATAAAACTAAAAAAGAAATCATCCTGCAATCCATGTGTAACATGCTCTCAACCAGGAGCTGGCAGCTACAGCCACATTTTGAGGAACCTGTCATTTTCCTTATAGGAAAAAAAAAGAAGGCAGCAGGAAACTCAAGTGTTGTAGAATGATCTAAGTTTCTAGCAAACAATTGAAAATGTGGCCCCAGCATTGTGCTTATTTTCTAGATTTTGTACAGTTTCCTATACCATCCATATTCTTTCCCTTCTCTCCTTCCTCCTTCTCTTCCCAGGAGTTTGTTCTCTCCTGCAAAGGGAATCAACCCACCCTCTCACAGCTACTGAACTCACTCCTCAAATTCTTTTGCTCCTTTTATAAAGTTCTGTTCCTTCAAAGCTGCAGTCCCCAAATTTTCTCTTCTTCAAGGAGAACTGATTTCTGCCCCACAAATCTTCCTCATGGCATCAATTAAACACTGCCCCTTCCCCACAAGCCACTCCTGCTCCAACATTCCCTTTCCCCTCTCTGGGCTCAGCATCTCTCCCCCTGCACCAACAGGAAGCAAAGCAGCATCTGCTCCTTGAGAATCAGGAATAAAGGTTAGGAAAGCTGCCTGCTGCTTCCCTCCCAGGAAGGCACTTGGAAGGAACCAATACTGGCATCTCAGTTATCTGGAACTGGCTTTGAAACCCTACAACATTCTTGGATGAACAGATTGCTGGCAACCATCAGGGGGAAAAAAAAACCCAAAACCCACAAAACAAACAAAGGATCCAGCCAGGCCTACACATTGCCACACATTCAGGAGGTAACAAAACGAGATTATTTGTATTTTGGGTGTAACCATGCACAGGTGTACACACACACACTGCACTGCCTGCATGGCATGGAAGAGTTGAAACACTCCCAGCTTCCCACAGGTGATGTTCACCTCTCCCAGGTCTCCCCAGCATCAGCCCCTGCCCCTTTTACACCTTTCACACCACACCTGCAGTGTTCTGTGTGCATCCTCCCAGGGCAGTTCAGCTCAGCACTGGCCTTGTTGCATTCCCAGTGCAATCAACAGCGAAACTTAATTTGATTTTTGATGGAAAAATGAGCATGGTGGAAGCTACGCCCTTGACAGAGATTTATTCAGGCAGGGAAATGTCACTTCCTACATCCAAGTGCTCAGAGAGTTTGGATTAGCCAAGAACTTTCTTCCAACTCTCCAGGTTTATGTTATTATAAAATTTAGAGCAAGCCTGTTTGAAGGCCAGTGTTGATTCTTCCTCTAAAAGCATCGATCCACATTTCATTATTTACAGAAAGCCATCGAAGACAGGCAGCCTTGGTTAAGGTGGTGGACTTGGCAATATGCACAGGTAAATCACAGAAATACACCATTAAGAAAAAATCATCACTTCCACAGGCCTAAAACCATGTTCTACTGAGGGAGACTGGAACAGCTTCTCCTCTTACCTCTGGAGTGTTTTTCTTGAACTCCCGACTTTGCTCGATAAGTTTTTTCCTGGACTGCTCACTTTCATCTTGCCGGTTTGCCAATATTGTTGCTGTGGTATCGAGCTCTCTCTGAGAAAAACAAAACATAAAACAAGAAAAAAAAAGAAAAAGGGAAATATTGTCAGAGCTGTGTTTGTCACAGAAATAAAAATCTCTCATATACACATTGGGAATATTGAGGTGGCCGGACCATGGAGCAGTACAGGACAAAGCACCAACCTGCCAGGAATTTACCCCCTGAATACCATCAAATGAAGCTCCAGAACCTTCCTGATTCCATCCTGCAACCAAAATATCACCATTTTCCATAAAAGCATCCATGGCTTCACCCCAGCATTACACAAGACAGCAGCAGTGGCAATACACACATCCTAATAATAATTCCCAAATCCAGGGAAGATTACAGAGTATGGACATATTCAAACCAGGTTTATTTTCACCTGGTTTTATCTGCTTTTTAAAGATACTGGTTTTCCCCTTTTTGAGTTACTCTATGAAAAAGAAATATTATTAACTCCAATGTTGGTTAACCTTACACCAGTCATGCTTCAGTCACTCTTAATTTCCTATAATATACTGTATATAATTCCACACTGCCACTGCAGTGCTCTTTTCCATTTAAGTTGTTCCTTATTTGAATACAAAATTATCTTTTCCTGTTATTGGAATCTATTCCTCTAAAATTATTAGCAGGGACCTCCATTTCCTCTCCAAAACATATAATTTTTAAGCACCTGATGAATGCCAGATTATCTTCCAGCAGTTTCTACCAGGCTGGAGCACAGGCTCCATCTTTTCACAGCTTCCTCCCAGTGTTATCCCCATCCCAGTTTCTGCACTCAGTCCTGTGCTTCCAAATGTCACCATAATAGATTGAACAGGTCACTTATCAGCACACAAACCAACAATACTCAATCTCCTGTGGCAGTTTATGCCTCTTCTGCAGTATTTCCACGTAACATGAAAAAATAAAGGCAAAACCCTCCACTCAGCTAAGCACAACATTCCCCAAGTCACTTGGAAAACTAAGAATTTATAAAAGGAATTTTTCCCCCCTTATTAATTCCGAAGGAGAAAAACCTAGCTATGAGAAAGAAGTTCATGAAAAGTGAGAACAACTTAATACAGCAAGACTGTCTTCAACTCATGCCTCTGCCAAAATGCCTCCAACCTTTATGCAAAGACTCCAATATTCTCCACCAAAAAACCTGCCACACCTCTGGCATTTGTTTGGAACTCAACCACCTGTAATGGACCAAACCCACAGGCCTGGGACCTCCTGTCATGTTTGAGACCAGATCCCAAATAGGTGCTCAAGATGTTGACTGATGCTAGATACAGCTACTGGTTTCTAAATACTCTGAAAAAGCCTAATTTCAAATATTAGATACATTTTTTTAATGGATAAATCCTACAACTTTAAATGACTGGATGGATGGACATGGGTTTTATGGGACTCCACAGTTTGAACTGTGGAGGGAAAACAAAAAGCCTTGCATAGTTTCCAACTCAAAAGGATCAATACTCCCCCCCCCCTTTAGGTTTCTTAGCATAAAATTAAGATCCTTTTTTTTCCCTAATAAATATAGGGACCATAGTTTTCTTAATCCTTGGAAACAAGCTCAATATGACAAGTGGATTTGAAGCCAGGCAGCAATGCTGGAGCCAGTGACCTAAATATTGTCACTGAAATGCTAAAAAAACCTTCCATATCTGACTTTGAGTAAAGAAACAGGGCAATATGTCCACCAGACCTTGGTTTGGAATTCTGTAACATATGTGAAATCTATTGCAGAAAAGTGGGAAATACTTAACAGTTGGATAAACCACATTTGAAATTCATCCCAGCTAAGTTTATGCAAGAAAAAAGAGCAACAGAAACCAATGTGGTTAAGCAGAACTATAAAGAGCAATATAACGGCTAAGCAGAAGGCTTTTAAAAAATATAAACAATCTGGTACGGCCAGAAACTTGGAAAACTATATTTAAAAAGGAAGCACACATTTGAAGCCAAGCAAAGAAAACACAAGTCATGAAGCAAGAGGGAATTTCAGTAGAGCAAGGAAGCAAACGCTTCGGTTCACGATACGGAGCGCTGGCAACCAACCCTACCCATGGAAAAGGAGCCTTTTAAAGACCTGTGCTTCCAAGTTTAGAGACAGGAATGAAAAGGAACTGATCAAAAAAATAATAATATTTCATATTTGGTGCTATAATGAAGAGTCAGGCAGCAAATGAAAAACAACTTCTTCATCCCCGCTGCTCGACTGATCCCAGCGCCACAGCGCGCTCACGCCGGGCGCCTTCCCATCAACTTTCAGAACTCCTTCTGGGACAGGTCTGATAATTTCTCACCACAAAACATTTCCTTATGTGTCATATCAGGCAGAGACACTGCTGAGGAGAACTGCCAGCACAGAACTGCGCTGAACTGTCTCTGACACCGGGGGCTGAAGCCCACGAGCTCAAGGTCTTGCAGAGAACTGATGAGCAGCTGATAGTGTGAGATAAAATTCCAGCTGAGGGACAGCAGAAATCCAACACTGTATACATGATCTGATGCAAAATGAGATATTAAATCTCCCAGCTGTGTCATAGTTAATAAGCCCCAAATCAAAACTATTTGGAAAATCACTAATCTTTTCCTCCTTACTTGATTTGAACCGTGTACAATGCATGTTTCGTTTATTTAAACCTAATAACAGTTACAGGGTTACAAACCACAAGCATTAATGGCAGATTTTTCATACTTTTGTAACTTAATCTCATGAGATAGCCCAATTTTTGTAAAAATTCAACGTGGCCAATGCATTATTTCTGCAAGCAAGCACGTATTAAGGAGCAAGCAGAAGTAAATTTGGTACTACAAACCTGAGCACTTTGTATCACTCAGAGCTATCCAGGCTTCCCAAGCCTTGCAACCACTCTCTAAGTAGGTATCAAGTGAAAGGAGATGTAATTCTGTGCATTAGAGAGTCCTTTAGAGTGCAACAAAACCAGGAACCCATGGCTCAGTATCACTCTCCACACCTTTGAAATCAAAAAGGTTCCAATGAAAAGCAAAGAGAAACCAGGGCTCAAAGGTTTTGCAGCAGTGACCTGGCTACGGAAAGGATTCAAAGCCTGGAAGCTTTAGTTCCACTGATTCAACAGTGGCTAATAAAGTTTCTGGCCCAAAATAGCCCCCATTCAATCACCCCTGCAGAAAGGGAGTCACTGCTCGGAGCACGTTTTGAGAGAGAACAAGTAAGACCATTATCCTTCCCCTGCCCCAAATCCCATCGATTTAGGGCAGAGACAGTTCATAGATAACTAAAGAACTCTCTCCAGGGTTTCTGCTTTGACCCATTTCAACAAATTTATTGGGGGTGGGAGGGAGGCAGTGGGAGGAGAGGAGACAAGAAAGTCTTATGCTCCTGAGTGTGGGAGTCATTAGAAGCAATCCCCAGAAAACAAACATTCAAAGGTTTCTTTCATGCAGTGCTGAAATAAAAACTCTAAAACTAGGAGGGTCAATCTGCTATCCCCTGTAACAACAATCACCCTGAAGCAAATCTGTCTTCTTTTAATGCAAGTACTTCCAGCCTCTGGATCCCCAGGAGCCTCCCTGTTCATCCCACCTCTGTCACCCCCGTGCCACAGCGACGGTGTGGCTGCCTGGGATCCACCACAGCAGAGCGAGCCTGCCAAAAACACCCCATCCTTCCCCCCCTGACTTCTGTTGCACTGAATCAGCCCCCCCTAGGCCCCATCTGTGCCTACAAGGACTTGTACCAGTGCAACAGGGAGGTGGGAAGACACGGCTGGAGTGAGGGGGGCTGGTGGAATCCCCCTTTTCCAACCCGCAATTAGGTTGACCCCACGTAATTATGAAACTCCAGGCTCACTGCAGGCAGGTTTCAAGGTTGTTTCTTTCACAGCTCATATGTCTTTCCCTTCTAGATGCATTCCTTGATAATCACCCAGCCAACAGGTCCACACCACTGCCCAGTTCAGCACAACAAGTCCTTCCCTTTCCATAATGGGAAGCTTTAAGCCAGTCCTTCCATGCCCAGGACCTGCCAGTGGCTGGCTGGCAGCTCTCAAAGCTGAGTCTCAAAAACTACTCACTTGGGAAAATGATTCTAAAAAGAAATTGGGCTTTCTTGGACATTTATGAAGCCTCTGTTCCCCCACCCACTTTTAACAGCTACTGGCCACTGCCCTGACATGGGCATTTCACAAGCAAAGGAACCAACACACCTCAGCATCACTGTCCCCCCATAATCATAACTAGTCCTCAGTCTCTGCTCAGAACCAGTATTCTCATGTTTCACATGGAAAAAGTTATAAAAAGCTGTAATAATCACCTGTAAGTTACTGCAATGTAACTGTATCCTAAAATTTTGTAATTCTCCCATATTAAAATGTTTAATCCCTGCTGCATTTACCACAAAGCTCTTTCACTGGAGCAAGAAACACATATCACAACCTTGGGACAAACTGATTCTTTTCTGGTAGGCTTCTAGTCAGGGCACAATGCCCAGGCTGTGCCTTCCAAAGCCTTACACGTGGCTGCAGGGGTTACCAGGACATCAGGAAGAATTTCCTCACTGAAAGGGCTGTCAGGCATTGGAAGGGGCTGCCCAGAGAGGTGGTGGAGTTCCCGTCCCTGGAGGTGTTCAAGGAACAACTGGATGTGGCACTCGGTGCTCTGGTCTGGCTGACAAGGTGGTGTTTGATCAAAGGTTGGACTTCATGGCCTTGGAGGTCTTTTCCAACGTTAATGATTCTGTGATTCACCATAAACCTCATTTTCCTTATTACAAGGACAGACACAAATCACAACTTCACGTAGGTCAGGAATTTTCTGCCAGTAAATGCAGCAGTAACCACTTCCCCCGAAATCTTGTTTCTGTGCATTCAAGGTATTTCCCTTCACCATCATTTCAATCGGCTCCCCAGTCTACGTGATAATCTGCCACTGAAAGGAGTTTTCAGCAGTCTCATTTCTGTTTTCATCCTCTGGCAGGATTGCATTTGTCACAGCTACCAAAGCTCTCAATGTAGCTTTTTTGCAATTTTTA